ATAATGGCGAGAGGGACGCCTTCTTTTTCTCAACGTGGAAGGTTGAGGGCTCAAGTCGGTTGGTTGTTTAAAGGTATTGATGAAGGCTTGGTTCAGAATTGGACCGTAGCTGTGGGCACAAAGTGTCTTTATATTCTGATGTTTTTCTTTGAGCTGGATTTTGCAACAAGAGTGCATGTTTGGTGATAAAAACAAGTGTTTTGCAGGTTTTTCCCCTTTTTGGTGCCAAAAAACAAGATTCTTCATTGGGTTAGTACTTCACTTTTTGCAGTGTTCTCTGAATCTTAAGGAGTATGACATTGCTAAGCAACTGAGAAACAAGCTGATTGAGATTTGATTATGGAAATTGTTCTCTAAATTCTAATATGTCTAGGGTATTGTCTATGCTTCACAGAACTGATATGAAAAAAATTACAGAAATATCTAATTGGTATTTGATGAGGCAGCTATATGCTACTTTGAATTCCTTGTTTTATTATTTTCTATTTATTTAACCATTTTATTTGATGGAGAGCATTGAAATTAGTAAATCCTGAAGTATATTTTCATGAAATTTATTATTCCTAATTTCTGATGATACTCTTATATGGTTTAGGTGATTAAATTTTGATGACCACATGAGCTTATAGTGGATTCTTTTTCTGAAGGTTGAGTTTGAGGTTATCAGACTTCGGGAGAGCAGAAGGGGATCAACATCTAAAAATGAAGCTCAGATATGGCTATAAACATTTTACGGCTACTGTAAAACACTATATTTTTTAAATTTTCCTCCTATATAGTTACTCTTGAGTTTTGGGTTCTTTTATCATCAATTATCTTTCTTTATTTTTTATTTTAATTTAATTTTTTTTCCTAAAATCAATGTATTTAGTCACTTGGTTTATGAAAATTCATCTCTTTCTGTGCAGAACAGTGTCGGTGAATACTTCTCAATGGCCCAAGCAGCAAGCAGTGCTGGTGAATACTTATCAACACGGGTTCAGGTACTCTTTTAAACTAACATAACAGCCCATCAATATCCATATCATGTTACAAGAACATGGAATAAGGGACTGTGCCAATCCCTAAATATCCACATCATGTAACTGAAACATGACAGAAAACTAGAAAAACTTAAACATGACAGAAAACTAGAAAACCATATCTATATACCAACACATGTACTAACATGCTTGAAAGAAATAGGGCAGATGACGATTGATGACTGAGCTACATTAATACATCAAATAGTCCTTGTTCTGATTCTGGTTATTCATAATAGTGTATTTCGGTTCTTTAAACTTAACAGAGAAGGATGGTAAAATTCATTGGTGGTCTCTCAATATTCCAGAAAGAAAATTTTATACGTCGGCTAATATATTTGGAATTTAAATTTCTTATGAAGAGATGTTGGAAGGCAAATCTCTGATAGTGGATATAGATATGCCATTGAAGACATAAGCTACAAACATTCAATTCAATATTTTAATAATTACACTACACATGTTTACATACACCAACTAAATGAATAACTTTCTTGCTTGTTCTTTTGTTCTGTTTTCACATGTTTTATTATTTATCTTTATCA